TATATCACACGATAAATCTCAGGATATGGTCTCTCTTTTATGGTGAGAACAGAACTGTTTTCTTGATGGCAGCCCAAATTTTGGAACAAAGTATAGTTTCTATCTCTGAAATCTGAATTACTATGTGAGTGGATGGGAGGCTGAGGCCACAGAGAGCTGAGATGGCAGCTGTGGCATAGTGGCATGTACTCATGTGGTGTCCTTTAACAGTGGGGGTGTGTTCTGAGAAATGTACTGTTAGACATTTTTGTCCTATGTAAACATCATGGAGCACACCTGCATAAACAAAAACAACTACGATGTCACAAGATGATACAGTCTTATGGAGAAGGCACTGTTGTTCTGAGGTCCCTTGTTGGCAGAAATGTTATTAAGCAGTGTGTGGCTATAACTGTACTTGGCACTGGGGAGCTGATTAATCCTGACTTGTACTTCCAAGCTTGCCTTCTCTATACCTGTACAGCAAGGCATGCTCTCCACCCACGGACTCCACACTGTCCCTTCCCAGTGAGTAGAATGTGTTTCCCTAGTGGGAACCTGCATGGTCACTGCCTCTTCTCCTTTGGATCTGAGCTTAAATGCATTTTCACTTGCAGTCTTTGCTGCCCTGACCACTCTGTGTAACAGCACCCTCTCTGACCACCTCTGAGGTTGTGTTCTTTACTTTCTTTCTCTGCTTTGTTTCCTCTGTGCCACTTGCTGCTGTTTAATAAACCATCTTGTTGTTTACTTGTTTGCAGTTTGTCTCTCCCACCAGAATGCGTACTTTTTGAGGGCAGAACTTTGGTTTTCTTCACTGCATATCTTTAGCACTTAGAATAGTGTCTGTATTACAGTAATTGTTGGGTATGTTGGGACTCGTTGGTCTCTTGGTGGTCCCTGAGAGAAAATGGTGAGGGGATTTAGAAAATACTGACAAGAGACAGAAGCTGAGGTCAGGTGGATCCTCTTACAGGATGGGCAGGAGGATTGAACAACAACAGTAAAGGTGTTTGTATCTTTGCAAATTTAGTATCATGAGACACAAAGTTGCCTAGCAACTAATGACTAAAATTGTCCCAGCAGACTGCTTTTCTCAACACTGAGGTAGCTTGACTGCTCAGGCACTGTGGCCTTGTCTTCTCTCTACACATATAACCAATTTCCAGCTTTAGCCGCTCCCTACAGGGTATACATTCGTGAATGAAGAAATGATGAATATATTTAATTTAAATATTTTCCAAAAATAATTTTTTTTTGTAGCAGTCACCTTTTATTGAGCATTAATTCTCACTTAGGCTATGAACAGATTGAGCCATGATTAAGCTGTTCACAGATGGGAGCAGGATGAGGCAGTCACAGGCTAGAGTGCCGAGTGCCCGCCACACTGGCCCCTTTTCAGTGGTACTTGC